TGCATACCGTCTCTGCCACCACTAGAATTTAAGCTGCATGGGGGCAGGACTTTTGTTGGCTCATTATTAAATACTCTGCAATTAGTGTCTACACATAGGTTCTCAAAAGATCACCTTGAGCCCTAATTGGTTTGGCTTAGTGGATAGAGCGTGGGCCTGCGGACTGAAGGGTCCTGGGTTCGAATTCTGGTCAAGGGCATGTACCTCAGTTGCAGGCTAGATCCCCAGTAAAGGGTGTGCAGAAGGCAGCTGATCGATGTTTCTCTCTCATCGCTGTTTATGACGCTCTATCCCTCTCCCTTCCTCTCTGTAAACGTCAATAAAAAATATTTTTAAAAAAGGCAATGTTGAATAAATGAATTCTTTATAGCGCATAACTGGGAAAGTTAAGGAAATCTCTTTTCTTTTTAAAGATTTTGAAGTTGCCAGCACCGGTTTGGCTCAGTGGATAGAGCGTCGGCCTTCGGACTGAAGGGTCCCGGGTTCGATTCTGGTCAAGGGCATGTGCCTTGATTGCAGGCACATCCCCAGTGGGGGGTGTGCAGGAGGCGGCTGATCGATGTTTCTCTCTCATCGATGTTTCTAACTCTCTATTCCTCTCCCTTCCTCTCTGTAAAAAACCAATAAAATATTAAAAAAAATAAAGATTTTGAAGTTGATTTTTTACAGAGAGAGGAAGGGAGTGCGAGTGAGAGAGAAACATCAATGTGAAAGGGAAACTTCGATCAGCTGCTTCCTGTACACCCGCCACCTGGGATCCAGCCTGAAACCCGGGGATGTGCCCTGACTGGGAATCGAACCAGCAGCCTCCTGGTGTTTCCTAGAGCTGCCATAATGCACTACCGCAAACCTAGTGGCTCAGGACAACAAAAATTTCATTGTCAGACAAGTCTGGAGCCAGAAGTCTGAAATTCAGATGCCAGCAGGGCTAGGCTCTGGAGGAGGGTCCCACCGTCCTCTAGCTTCTGGTGGCCACATCAGTCCAGCCTCTCTTCACATCTTCACATGGCCTTATATCATAGCATGGCCTTATCTTGTGGCTCAGTGGTTGAGTGGCGACCTAGGCACCAGGAGGTCACGGTTCGATTTCCAGTCAGGGCACATGCCCGGGTTGCGGGCTTGATCCCCAGTAGGAGGTGTGCAGGAGGCAGCCAAT